GGGAGGATGCAGACACCCAGCGGATCCTCCGGCATCCCAGCAGGGAGCCCCTCGGCCGCAGCAGCGCTCGTGACAGCTCTACCGGAGTGGTGACCAACGCCGTAGCCAAGGAATCGGGAACTAAGCTCTAGAGTGATGCGTAGCAGGGCGAGCTGCCAGCAAGAAGGGGATCTGACCTGGGTTTGGGGGAAGGGGAGGGGGCTGTGCTCGCCCCCAGCGATTCAATCACCACTGGATCCCACCTCCTAGAGGCTGGAACCCACTGGGAGTCAACAGCCCAAGAAAAAAAACGTCAGCCAACGTGGGTTTCAGGTACTGACCAAAAGGGACACCAGGAACGGTGACAGACATCTCAGAGGCTCTGGAGGGGCAGGAGCACAGAGACTCGACTATACAGGGTGCGAGAGTCCAGAGCCAGAAAGCAGCGCCCTGGGGAGAAGCTGAAGGCAGCTGTTGTGTTGTGCACGGGCTGCTCATCTGGCCGGCGGCTGGGAAAGGACCGGGTGAGCCAGCGTGACATTCAGGGAGTCATTGTGCTGCACCAGGGACGTGTGCTTGTAGTGCAAGACCAGGTCCTTGAGGGAGGCGTAGAGGTTGTAGGGTTCAGCGAACCCGTAGCCCGTCGCCGTTTTGTAGATCACGCAGTGCTTGGTGTCACCGTCCACCCTGCCGGGGAGACAAGGGAGCACGGGTCAGAGCCACGCTGGGACAGGGACAGCAGAGCATAAATGGGTGTCGCCACAGCAGCCCAAAGATAAATCTGGCCCTGGCAGGAGGAGCCGAGGCAGACGGGAGGGCAAAAACGCCGGCTGCCCCCCCCCCCAGCCTCCAGCATCTGGCGAGAGAAGGGCAGAGCAATGCGGGAGCGCGGCCCGCGTCTGCTGGGGGGTACTCACACCACGGAGCAGGCGTAGCATCCCTTCTGGCTGCTCTCGCGGATCAGGAAGGTGCCGTCTCGCTTGCCGCACAGCATCTCTTCTGCCTGCAAGCGGTTGATCTTCCCCACGTACCACGTCCGCTCCTCGTGGTGGGGCAGCTCCTCCTCGTCATCCATCATGGAGTACTGGCTGGAGTTGAGCACAGGCAGGGTCAGAACCCCTTGGTTTGGGCACGTGGCCCCCAAATCTCCCCTCCCCAATGCTAGCTGCCATCACTCCTGGCAGGAAAGGCTCCTCAGCTCCCAGGCAGGGAGATGGGACTTGCCGGTGGCCCTGGAGCCGGCAGAACTGGCTGCGCAGCCTCCGTTCCCGCAGCCCCCCACATCCCCCAACGCATGAACACGGACACTCACTCCTCTGTTTCGTTCTTGATGCCCAGCCACTCGTTGATTTTCTTCTGCCGGGCACCCTTCTGCGTCAGCCACCTGGGTGGGGAAGGAGAGGCAGAGCTCAGCGCCGGTGGCACCAGCCATCACCAGAGGGCAGCATCTGTCCCCTTTGAGGGACCGCCGTGCCCTGAGGCCGCACGCTGCAGGGCTCCTCCTGCACCCAGCAGCCCACAAGCCGGTCCAACAAGCCTCAAAGCCCTCAAGGAACCAGCTGGATCGCTCCTGGGCTGGAGGGGCAGCAGGGCCCCATTCCCAGCCCTCGGCGGGGGGCAGGTACTACGTACACCAAATACTGGTCCCGCAGTTTGCGCAGCTGCATGAGGTCTGGCTTGAGGCTGTTCATGCGCTTGTCGATCTCCCGGTTCTCCGAGGCTTGTTTCTTCAGGTCCTGTTCCAGCTTCATCTTGCTATCGTGGATCTCAGTGATGCGAGACTTGAGCTTCTCCGAGTTCATGAGGATCCTGGGAGAAGGAGGAGGGGGTTTAGGCTGTGAGCCAGCGTGGGGGAGGCGGAGGAGGCAGCCTGCCAGCTCCAGCCCACAGCACGCTGCTGGAGAGACAAGGATTGTGCGTGCCTCAGCTCTGCGCTGGGCCAGGATGATCCTTCCAGCCCCCGGAGCCCTTCCCCGGGCAAGGGCAGGTCACCACCACCCCCTGTCCTCACCGTTGCACCTCCTTCTCGTTGCCTTCCCGCCGGAAGCGCTCGATGTACTCCTTGCTGCATTTCTCCTGCGTCTGACACTGCTCCTCAAAGATCTTGATCGTCTCGTTGAAGGCCTCGATCGCCGTCCTCTTCATCTGCAGCTCCTGAAAAGGGAGAGGAGAGCTGAGGAAGGGGGAGCATTTGGGCAGGTTTCTGCCCATCCACTTCCCCTATTCCCCCCTCCCCAGAGCAGTACTGCCCTTGCTGCAGCCCCTCTTCAAAGCCCATTTTCTGGGAGTCCCCTCAAGCCCAGCAGCAGACAAACGGGGCAGCAGGTGCCCAATCTTTGCCCTCCTCCGTGCACAGCCGTGTGGGTGCCAGCGATGGTGGGATGTCGGGGCATCCCATGGGGAAGGCAGTGCCCACGTACCTGCGAAGTGCGTGTGTACTCCTCGTACAGCAGGTCGTACTCCCAGCTCTTGTCCTGGTACTGCTGGTGATAGACCTTCAGCTGCTCCCCCACGGCTTCCACGCTGTCCTCTTTCACCACTTGGTCCTGCCGGACACACAGCCTCAGTCAGGATCTGTCCTGCCCCACAGCAGCCCCTCTGCAAGGCAGCTGGTCCCACAAAACCCCACCAGCCCTGCGGGATGGCTGTCACCCCACAATGTCCCAGCATGGAAGAAGGAGTGGGACACTGTCATCTACCAAAGGACCAGTGATGGACAAGCAAACGCGCCCGGTTCGGGCTGTGCGGGCCAACCGCGTCCCTGCGGCATGGGCCTCACCTGCTGGTACTTGGAGATGGGGTAGAGCAGCCTGGTGTCCAGCTTGGCGTTGTACTGGGCGAGCGACTCGTGCCGGTAATGGGTGATGAGCTCCACCACCGAGCCAAAAGTCAGGGGCTCTGAGAAGCCATACTTCCCTTCCCGGTGAAAGATCTTGATCAGCTTGTTGTTACCTCCCTTCCTGTAGCGAGGAGGGGAGAGGAGAGGACCCTTACCACCACCGCAGCACCCTACATCCGCCTGGACGTGTCCCTCACGCCAGCTTGACGTCTGGGCAGCTGCAATCGCTTGTGCCAACAGCTCCACCCCGCAGCAGCGGAGCTCCCCGGGGACCCCAGCACCCTACCTGAGCGTGAGCGTGTATTCCCCCTGGATCTTGCTGGAGGCATCGCGCACCAAGAAGGTTCCATCTGGTGTGTCTCGTAGCTTCTCGTTCACCTCCTCCCTGCGAGGAACACGATTGTCATGGCCCATGAGGTGCAACCAGAGCTCCCCTAGATAACCCGACGGATGGGGGACCCAGGACGTGAGCTGGCAGCCACCCCCTTACCGGGAAATGTCACCCCAGTACCACTCGGCGTCCTGCAAGGGCACGCTGTTCCCGTTGGCCAGGCTGGCCGCGCTGGGCTTTGGCTTAGGTGGTTTTGGAGGCAAGGCTGTAAGAGAAGGAGGGTTGAAGCAGAGGGAGCCCACGTCCCAGCTCCCCACCCTTGCCAAGGCCAATCCCCCCGTGCACCGAGTCCCCGGCCCTGCAGTGACCGCCCTGGGAAGCCCCTCTTGGCCACCACGCTGCCAGGAGCTGCTCCAGGCACGTGTACAGCAGCAGATGAATGCATCGAGCTGGCCTCCAGGCACAGCCGGGCTACAGAAACGCCCTCGGCAACCCACTCGTGAGGACAGAGACTCCACACCCCCGGCGCACAAACACCAGCGCCTCGGGCCCCAGGGAAGGGGCATCTCAGTACCTGGAGGCAACTGTTCCGGCTCCAGCTCCTTTGTCTGCAGAAGTATCTCCAGAAACAGCACCGAGAAGTCAGGGCTCAGCTCTGGGCTGCAGGGACAGAGGAGCCAAGATCAGTGGTTGTGGGGGAGAACTTGGCAACGCTACGGTGCCCCCCGGGCAAAGGGGCTGCCGGGG